CTTGCACCACCTAGAAACTGAACCCTAAAACCTCAACCCTAAACCCCCAACCCTAAACCCTCAACCCGAAACCCTGAACTAGGCCCCAAACTACCTTAATCAGCAGACCCCGGCCTGGGCCATTGTTAGGGATACATACGGTAGTGAAACATTTAACTCGCCGAAAGCGTAATTTCTCAGATCATGGCTCCATGTAAAGTTTAGGAATAGGTTTTGGGGGTTAGGGTGTAGGGCCTTAGGATTAGGGATTTGGATTTGGGTCTCCACAAAATGCCTTCCCACATCTCGGTCATTCCTCGAGCTATCCTGAGGTCGAGGCAGAGCTTGATACTTTTTGGAGTCTCCAAAATTAGGACTAACTTTTTTGGGGGTCCCTGTAATAAGGAGTATAATATTTTGGGGGTCTATATTGGGGTCTATATTGGGATCCACCTATTTAAATGGTTGCCAGTGCCTGGGCACGAGAGCGAAGAAACGCTGCATCTCCTCTGCAGAGTAGGTCATGTTGGCAGAATGAGCGCTCCCAAACAGCAACACCTCCATGGGTTGCTGTTAAGGAACTTGAATTAAGTTACCATAATGGGTATATATAGTAAATAATAGGGTTTCTCCAATATAGTAACTTAAATTAAGTTCCTTAACAGCAGCCCAGCTCCTTGCAAAGGTCCAGAAACAAGAAAACATGAATTTCATGGTTGTTCCAGGGACGTAACGAAAGTCAGACCAGCGCAAGCACAAGATTCAGACATTAAAAGGGAAGACACAGAGAAACTGGGCACCAAACTGACGGGAAGCACTCTGCAAGGAATATAAACATCTGCAGTTGTCCGAGTACTGCCAACCTGCCGTGGCACCACATCTGCCCCCGAATTCAGCTCCAAAGCAACGCAACATGCCAACCAGGACAGGTCCTGCACCTCTGGCTTTTGGGAAGTGTTGTGGCCTGTCCAAGTCAGGAATTTAAGCCAATGAGTCGGAAAGAATAGCTTCGAGCCTTCAAACGACAGCCAGAAGCCTGCTTGCTCACGGGGTCCGAGTCCTCAATACTCGCTTGCTGCATTGGCAGCATCTGCAGCAGCCCCCCTTTTGCTGTACATATTCGGAATTAGCTGAGCAAGCTGCTGGTGGCAGGTATGTTCAGCGTTCGAAGCAGAGACTGCCTTGGGAAACTTCCGCAGCGCAGATGTTGAAGCACACTGTGCCTGAAGGCTGCAACCGTGACTGCATCCCAAGGAAGCTGACCAGCTGGAGAGGCCTGGCATCCAGCATCGACAGTCCCAGTATGGGCAGCTGCTCATCCAAACGAACAAGAAGCACCCGTATTCGTCCTCGCACCTTGCCCCACCAAAGGACAGCTGCGAGGGCTCAAGGAACGTGGATAAGTCAAAGAGCTTCGCCGCAAACTTGCTATTTCCTTCACAGGGTTAACGGCTTGAAGGCCAAAGTGATGCCCAGAAAATGTGAAAAAGCATGCAAAGCTCAGGATTCAGGGGCTGCCATGAATGCTCGACAATTGATTGGACTCGTCCTATTGGAATTACATTTGCAGCTCCATTCAAAACTATGTAAACAGCATTTCCAAACGCACTGTCAATTTCAAGATTTTCTGAACGCAAGTTGAAAAGAATCAGGCAAGCGGCCGTGGAATTGCCTGAGCACATGAGTCAGTCATTCAACCCCTGCTAAAACAGATATAGAAGGTGTCTGTGAAAAGTCCGGGCCGAGGTGCACAGGATTTGTCCTTGACTCCACATGCTCCGAGAAGATCCTCATTGGATTTACTGTGGATCCCTTTAGCCAGGCTTATGGGCCTTTTTCAAGATTCACGGTAGCAAGTCATGAACCAAAAACAAGACGAGAAGTGGAGTTCACGCAAAATTCAAAGTCCAGCTGAGTAGAAGCTCCTGATGTTGTAGCGTGAACCGACAAGGCCAATGAACAGCGTGTTCTAGGTCAAAAACCCAGCTGACTCACACAAACGGAAAGCTGTTGATGTCATGAAGGCTTTTGCATTTGCTTATCGTATCAGCCGTGCTATGCCGTGGTCTTGCACTGCCAGCGTTGCATTCACGGAGACATCTGAAACTCCAGGGCTACATGTCATTGAGGTAAGCCTTCTCTCTGGGACCCTTTAAACACTAAATCCTAGTCTTTGGACACTTCTGAACTCCTGGACCCTAATCCCCCGTGGACCCCAACCCCTCCAACCCTGCAAATCCCAAAACCCTAAACCCCAAAACACTCTAAACCGTAAACCCCAAAAACCCTAAACCCGAGATAATCCCCATATGAGCCATAGTCTAAACTCCTAGCATCCCCCTGAATAATCTCTTTAGCAGTCCCCTATATAACCCCCTATATAACCCCCTTTAAGGAGCTTAGATTATGGTAGATATAGCCCCTAAAAACACGAAGCCAGGGATCAGGACCGCATAAGCCAAGGCAAAGCCTAAGGGGCAGAGCTGCCGCACCTCAGCCGCGGCTTCTTCGGTGTAAAAGAAAATATATAGGTTGTAGGGTACTATGTAGGGTTTAGGGTTTAGGGATAATGGAAAAAAATGGAAACTAGTATTTAGGATTTAGGGCTTAGGCCTGAGGGGTTTGGGTGTAGGGTAGTCTAGGGATAATGGAAGAGAAAGTGGAAACTACTATAATGCTACTATAATGGGGTTATATAGGGTTTGGGGTTTGGAGGGGTATGGGGTTATGTGGAGGTGTATAGGGATATATCCGGTTTGGGATTGAGCTGTGGATGACAAGGAGAGGTCTGTGAAAATCCTATACCACTTGAATATTCGAGATACCACTAACCTGGAAGTGCTTGAATGTTTGGAGGCGGACATGACAAGTCGGAGGCAACATTTGAGGTTTACGGTTTCCGCTGTCGGAGACCTCTTGAGGTACAGAAGCCTCAGCCTCTCCAGAATCAAACATGGTGGCTTGCATGAATGGGGGGACCCCAAAATAATCCGAAAATGCACAAAAAATTGATGATGGGGACCTCCAGAATGCTATGGTACCATTGAACCTTCGGAGGACCCCATATGAATCAAGTCCAAGAAGCACGGACCAGTTCTTCGCTCTCCTCGGGAACAAGCAGGTGTGTGAGCATAATTCTGTAGGATATACATACATACCGATAGTAGTTAGGGAGAAGAAAATACAACTAGAGCGTTGTAGGGATAAAATACAACTAGAGGGTTGTGGGATATATTAATTCCCCAAACAGGAGAATCAAATGGAAAACGAAATGGACGCTACTATTCAGGGTTTAAAATCACAGGCTTTGTATGGAAGTTTCTCAAAATGGGGACCCCAGGGACACCCAAGGACATCATGTCACAGGGGGATTACAAGGGGATTATACAACTATCTCCGGAATGCCCTTCTTAGGGAATTTTTGGGAAACGTATTGAGAAACCCCCGCGTAAGGACTCAAGGGCACTTTGGATAATCTCCTCCCGCTAACATCAAACCCCCCACCCTATAATGGGAGCATTTAAGATTAGGGGGTTGGGGGGGAGGGGATGATTAGAGGGCAAAGCATGCGCAACCCAACAGTGGACCCCTGATTTTCGGAAATCCTAAACCCTAAGCCTAAACAATATACAGGTGCCAAATGACAGGATTTATGTTGCCAGGGAGCCCGGTAGCAGATCTCATCTGACAGGCCGAGGATGTACCTCGGGTCTGTTGGGGTTCCCTTTCAAGGGGATATAGGGGTTATATAGGGTTTAGGTTTAGGATTTAGGGTTTAGGTTTTCCCCAAATTAGGGGTCCCCTTGTTGGGGTCCCTGAAATAAGGATGATAAGATATAGGGGTCTAAATTGGGGTCCCCCTGTTAATGGAAACTAACACATCGAGTCACTCTTGCCGTGAACATGATTTGGGTGCCTCCAACCAGGCCTCTCGAGCATATTTCCTACTTTTTCTCAAAGAAAATGCCGTGAGTACATGTGGGAAACTTTTTTCACTCCATCTCTGCTCCCGCTGCCTGCTCTGTGGGTGCTAGTTGAACAGTAAAGGTCCGCAATGAGCTGGATTGGAGCTGAGCTTACGCATAACTCCATCAAGTGACCTGTATGGCGGCAATCGAAGGCTGCGACTGCAGTGGTCGTGGAGGGCGCACCCCAAGACCTGACAGCCCATGCAATCCTCCACGAAATGAGCGCTGCCTGAGAATTGGTTCATGATGCACAGGTTGCGGACAGCCCTACTTGCCTTTGCCACTCCTGTGTGGAGGCCCTGCCACGGAAGCGTCGACGAGTTGTAGTCCGGACCTTTACACGAAACCGTGCTTCCGAAGAACTTTCCCTCCACAAGCTGAGGCCAGCGCATGACACCGGTTGTGGATGGGAAGAGTCTGAAAGCATTGCATTGCTCAAGGCATCAAAAGGAACTATACCTGTCAAAGTAGGCATGGCTAGAAGAAACCGTGCAAATGGCAAAGCCAAATCACTGAAACCAGAAGCTTGTGTGGTCCATCCACATCGCTGAGTGAGCCCTCGAGGTCAGGGTTCAGGTGAACTCGCAGAAACACATGCATTGCTTCTGAAAGCCCAGCCTCACCATCGGCGTATTCTGGGATGCTCTTAAGGAACTCAAGAAGGTTACAGCAACACGGATGATATATATATATATGCTATATAGTTTTTATCAGGTTTCAATATCATGGTGACTTGCTTTGAGTGCCTTACCAGCAGCCCACGATACATTTTTCGCCAGGTATGCTTGAAACCGCTGAATTGTATCGACTAACTGCCGATGATCAGTCCTCATTGGCATGACAGGCTGCAGCTCACGTGTGGCTTTGCCAGACTTGGAAGCCTGCATGGAAAAAGTTTTCTCATTATCAGTACTACTGTTAATAGTGCTCCTGCAAAATGACTTTATCAATATCACATTCAGTAATACTCTCAGTGCTGTTCTTACTCTACTTGCCGCTCGCTTCGCGAGGCAGACAACCACGGCCAGTTTAGCGGCAGGTACCCTGATTCCTCTAAGGCCCTGCCAAGCTGGGCCCATCCTGGGATACCTGAGAGTATGCCATGCCACGGGACTCTCTGAGGACCTGGGCCTGCACATTCCTGGGTTGGTGTTAAGGAACTTATATTAAGGTTTAGGGTCTAGGATCTGGGGCAATAATTTTATACATACCCATATCATGGTAACTTAAAAAAAGTTCCTTAAACAGCAGCCAAGATTCTTGATGTACCAGTTGGAGAGCATCCATGTGCAAATTATGAGCAGCATCATGCAGACGACGAACACAGAATGGGCCACGCCCCAATGCCGGAGAAGCTCATCACCAAGACATGCTTGCCGTACACACGGAATGTACACGTCGTAAAAACCTTGGAAAAGATAAGCACGTATCAAGAAATGGGTATGTCGGAACTAGCCGTAACAATCCAAACGCCCCAACGCGGGGATTCTTCATGAAAGAGCACACTGTCGGTGCATGGAAGATGGTCCAGAAATGTCCAGTTCATACCCGATGCACATTTCTGCGACAAACACACTGCACCTGCACATGCATGCACACCTATCATAAACATGAAGCCCCTTACGACCAGAATGTACTTCTGACCCTGGGACTGACTCTGCAAGTCCCAGCCACAATACATTCCCTTTGCACAACCTGCTGCTAAGCAACCCTCAAGCTATTTCAATCTTTTGCCGGGAAGCCCAAGGGGATGTGAATGCTCGGGTGATTTGCACCAATCGGAAGGTCATCACAAGTTTGCCTTGGAATCAGCCACGTGAAGCTTGCAATACACCTCTAAACGGACTGGAACGATACAGAAACTGACCTCCTAAACCTTGAACCCTATACCCGAACTAGCCCTGACCAAGGGACAGAACTTCCTTGCGGGTCACAGTGCAATTTGGGTCCACCTTGGTCCCATGCAACTTGTGGATCCCATTTAGCACGTCATCCTCAACCAAATCCACGAACACATTGTTGTTCAGGCGACAGCGTTCACGGTAGAAAACCTTGTCATGCTGGAAGACTGGGAACAGCACGCCGAAGTTGTTCAATACCGCAATCTCGGAGTAGCGTTGGAAGCAAGACAAACAATACAGCCGCGAGGTCAAAAACATCCCTGACCCCAACAACAGAATTGTAAAGAGCTGACCTAAGCACAAGGCCTTCACACGATGTGCAGCGTCGATGCTTCCCACCTTGAGCTCATCCGGCTCTTGTGAACGGAAGCCCGTCACATCAAGCAGTTCATAGTTTGATTTGAAAACTTCTGGAGTTTCATATGGGATGTGGTTGCCAGTCCTGGCGTCTCGGACCGTGATGTCGAACGAGTCGATGCCACGGCTAGGCAAATCGTGCTCTTTCAATTCCATCAGAATCCATGCGGGAAGGGTAAAATTGTAGTCTCTTCTGCATGGTTCCATGCGAATCCGCACTGGGCCTTGTTCATGCTCTTCCCAATACAACAACATTTTGGGGCTTATGTAACACTCGCATATGTCCACACTTCCAACCGCATGCATTTTCTTCACACAAAATCGCACGTTGTAGTCCAATCCCGAATTTCTCACCTTGATAATGAGCGAATCGGGAAAAGAGATCACCTTCGGGTCACAATTCTCCTTCACTGCCGTTATTTGAGGAGGATTGCTACTCGTTTCAACTGTCAAGTAGTAATCGCCAGATCGGATTGCCGGAAGATCCCCGACAATGATGTTTGTGAGTTCAATAGGAATCTGAACAACACCCATGCGCTGGCCCAGCATGTGTAACAAATTTTGGCCTCTCGACCGCTTGAAAGGCCAGCAGCATGAAGACGTCAGTTGTCGGGTCCACTCACACTCACAGAAACGGCAGCATGTCATCACTTGCCAAATTGCTGAGTTCAAGTCTACATGCAATCGGTCGTCCCCTGAAAACAGTGTGATTACACGGTCTCTGTATATGTAGGCAATGTACAACCCAAGGGCTATCAAAACGAGGATGAGCAGATTGTTGACCTCTGCGACGATGTCTGCTGCCAAAGCTGGGACCACAAGCTGTGCCAAGCAGCATGGCAGCAAAAGGGCTTTGGATACCGAACGCATCTGCACCAGCTTGCTGATGCACTGCAAGCCAAATCTACTGCGAACAGGTATTGAATCAAATGCTGTGGCACTGCAAAGCAACTTGCTGCTCTGACAAACAACGAACAACAACGAAATCAAAAGGAATGGAACTGGTTCTGCAACCCGTGATCCCAACCAAACCCATCATCGACACTATGAAAGCTGAACTTGCACCCAATGTGTGAGTTCACACCCTCTGGACACAGCGAAGAAGTGTCATCCACCATCATCATCAGCATGATCATCATTATCATCACCCTTATCGTCATCGTTATCATCAATAGCCAACATCATCAGCATCAGCATCATTATCGCCATCACCATCACCATCATCATCACAAGGGCAATGAACAACACCTCATTTTCCTGATGCGGGAAATCCATTGTCAACGATGACGACGGTGGTGACTGACAAACTACTGACAGTTAAAGATGTCAACATGACAATGATGGCGCTGTGGATAAGGGTGATTCTTGCAAATGGTGCTGTACGTTTTGCTGCCGTCAGTACAAGTGTCCGACAATCGTCAACGCTCCTTTAGAGTGGCTCACCACATTTGCATGATCTCAGAATGCTGGTCACCAAGAGCGTGGCATGACCTTCACAGCTCAAACTCTATGGACACCCTGCTGCCTGCTTGTGAACATTCCGGGGAGCAGACGGCCAAAACTATCGCTGCATCCTCAAAACCAAACCACACAATGAGACTTGAACACCATGCAGCATTTTGCAAATCAATGCCATATGCTGAGTTTTGATGAGGGCGAATGTTCCAACCAAGTGCCAAGCAAGCGGACGATCTCCGAAGCTGCCTGTCAGGTATCCTGCGACGGGCTTGCGCCGACATTGCAAGGGCAAATCTAACGGATCTCCCACAAAAGGCCCGCAAGTTCAACAGCAGCGGCAAAGCCCTTTTTGAAACCTTGATTTTGAAGAGTTTTTCGTTGGCCAGTTTCAGCAGCCTCTTGCGGGCTTGCCCACGATTTTTGATGTTTGCCGTCTTGTGGTTGAGAGAATGCTCGCAGTTAAGTGCAAGCATGCCTTTAGCAATCCATTCTTTACCGTTGGTCTGACTCCTGATGGATTGCGAACTCAATTTCCGAAGGCCTATCCAAACAGTAATAGGGGAGTTTGGACCTGTCATTTTCCAGCCTGATATTTTGCAGCTTCCATGCATGCTGCAGTCGAGCCACAGCCACATGCCAAGTTGGGTGCCCCATCATGCTGATGTATCTTACGTAGCGAATGGGTGAAGGCAGAAGTTAGGTCACAGCGGGCTGAAAAAGGCTCCAAATTAAGTTCGCGGCTGATTGCTGAAGCTGCTGAAGCTTCTTCCTCACAAAACACTCTTGCAAGGTCTGGTGTTGTAATGTAGTGTCCATTTACTTATCCATTTGATTTTGCATTGAATTTTCATTTGGCCACTTGGGAGAATATCCCTAAACCCTACACCCTCAATAATTCTTTCCAGCTTCTTTTCCGCTATTCCTAAAAGCACCATCTGACCCCTCTACAACACCTTTTATAATTCCTAAATATGACCCGAATATAATCCATATAGTCTCTCCAAATCTCACGAAGTGTGTGTGTTCAACCTCGCTGGGGCTGTCACAATCCCAGGCCAGCTTCGTTAAGACCAAGGTCCTCCACTGTTTAGGATTTAGGGTTTTGGGCTTAAGGTTCGGGTTTAGGGTTGTCTTTTCTACGGATTTAAGTCACCAGTAACAAATTATTTCATAGTAATAGCAGACATAAGAAGAATAATGATCATATGAATAAAAGTAGCATACATGACAGTAATGACGACAATTATAACAGCGTGAGTCATGTTTTTCTGCAGCCCGTGAATGAGTTAGGGCTATTTAGTGGTTATATAAGGAAATTACCCAAAAAAAGGAAATACAAAATGAAAGTAAGGTGTGGGCCTGACAGCCTATAATGATACCATCGATGATGGTGATAATAATGAAAGGAATGTTGTCCTCTACGGCCTTTATGGCTGTCTCCATCTTTGACACTGTCGATGCCAAGCGCAGGGAAGCCTGAGCACATCAAAGTGGAAAGTTGTTGGGATGAACGGTGACTTTTCCGAACCAGTTTTGAATAATCTTGAGGCGAACACCCTTATCTGCTGCTCACGCTCGAATTGCACCTCTAGGGGCGGAATGCTTACAAAGGATGCCGGTGCAATCACGTCGCCATGAGAAACCTGCAAACGGGAACACCACACCAGCTGTTGCATTGATGCCATCGTTATGCTGCATTTGCAACGCATGCAGCAACAGAATGTGGCTCAAAGCTGTCAAGACTGAAGCTACAGCTGTGCGTGCTAGAAAAATCGTAAGTTCAGTTGCTGACATCTGCCAGTCTTGGAGCCTGCCAGGATCCTCCTTAACCTCAATAGCAGATTTGCGGGATTCGAGGAGTACTCCTTTGCGACACATGGCAAGACAGTCACTGAATTCGTCCAGGTGCTTGTCCTTTGGCCCATCATCAGGTCAGAGCGTCCACCTTGCGCATCTTGCTAACGATTGACGGCAACCGCTGCCAGCAGACGCGCTTCGCCAAGTGTCAGGAGCGAGCCACGGGCAGCTAAAGACGAGCTGGGCTCAGCAACACACTCTTCTCAAAAAAGGTGACAATTGGGTGCCAACATCATAAAAAAAAAAACATGCTTTTGTTGTGTTTGTATAGTTCATGTAAGAAAGAACCAAGAGTAAAGGGAACCGTCATCCTTTTAGTAGCTTCATCCCGTTGGGGGGGTAAACATGGCAAATGACTGAGATCTGTTGGATCAGGGGCTACAAGGGGGCTCCAAAGTGATTTGCGACTGAAATCCATAACATGTGATGGCAAATGGTGGAATTTGAAGATTTTCAATTGAATTCCATAGCATGTGATGGCAAATGGTGAAATTTGAAGATTTTCAATTGAATTCCATAGCATGTGATGGCACATGGTGGAATTTGAAGATTTTCAATTGAGTTCCATACCATGTGATGGCAAATGGTGGAATTTGAAGATTTGGGCTTGGACTTTTAGCATAACTTACCTGAGCATAGTTTGTTGGCACAAGTTTCTCTACCGCAGCTGCACATTTGGCAGACAAAGAAAAAGAAGTAAAACTTCAAAACATGAGTTTGATTTTGAAAACATGTCATGATGAACATGGACTTTCAGTTCTAGTCTGGGTCAGGCAGCTTCAATAAAGAATGACAACAGCTACTCAAGCAGACAGCGAATTCGAAAACATAAAGCGACACAGACAGAATTTTTTTCTTTGTTATCACGATATTCCCAAATTTCATTATCCATATATATATATATTCATACATCACAATATGAGTTCACTCTATAACTCAACTCATGCAACGGACGCGTCTTTTTCCAGATTACGGGTAGTACGAATTCGGTGTGAGCTTCGTTAGCGCCCCGGCTGCAGCCAGCGCATGGCCATGCACTCCGGCCACAACCGGCACCATGGGCCCCGGTACTGAGTAGCCCAAAGGTTTAGGCTCATCCCGAATCACCCCCCAGGGTGGGTGGGTGGGAATTTGCGCATGCTGAACTCGAAGCCAAAACCATCGGATACCAAGGTATCATGGATGCACAAATCGTGAAACCAAAAAGACATGATTGCTGAAAAATCTTTGTTTCAAATCATGTCCAAAATACGTGAAACATATTTCATGACCACATGAATACAATCATGTTCTGGACATGCAAACACTCAATTTGGGAATACGCCCCTTGCTCAAGGGGCTGTCATGTAACACAGAAAATAAAGTCCGCACGCGGAAAAGTATCTTCTTTGTTATCACGATATTCCCATAAATTTCATTACCCATATATATCTATATATCCATACATGACAATATGAGTTCACTCTATAACTCAACTCACGCAGCAGACGCTTCTTTTTCCAGATCACGGGTAATACGAATTCGGTGTGAGCTTCGTTAGCGCCCCGGCTGCAGCCAGCGCATGGCCATGCACTCCGGCCACAACCAGCACCATGGGCCCCGGTACTGAGTACCGCCCAAAGGTTTAGGCTCATCCCGAATCACCCCCGCTTAAGATGATCCTCAAACCTCATCCCTGTTGAGCAAGCGCTTGACCATCCCTGGGTCCACTGCAAAGGTTCCACAACCGAGCATCCACCAGTGGCAGGGCTTTTCATAGGGAAGGGTTCACCAACTTGGCATGGACCATAGCTAACGCCTTTTCGGCATCTTGCCGCGGTGGCCCAATCTGCAACGTCCGCTTGCACTCTATCAATCCATGCCATGCTTGGATAGGCATTGTCACTTTGGCCATCATTAGGGCAAGAGAGTCTTCCCCTAATATTGTCAAATTCCCTCTCTCAGCTGTGCCCACCTGACCTTTGGGCTCACGCAAGCAGCATGCTCAAGTCTAAGAACCCCCCACGTTCAGGAGCAGGACGCTGCACCCCTTAACGCCCTCGAACTCACAATTGAAGCCAGCACAGTGCGACATCCATCCAAACTGGAGAGCAAACCCCTCCAAAAGTTCACGGTGCGAAACATTACTAGGCCAACGTGGTGTATGCTTAGCTTATCTTTGCAGGCTCAGCAAGCCCCGCGCATCTGTTGCTTGAGACTTCCGAGAGAGGTGTCGGCATTTTTGCTCATCCACCATCCCAGGCTCTCTGAATTGACAGCCTTAAAATGTTAGGCCCTTGAGAAGAGCTCCTGATGTGTCCCATGTGTCCCTAAGAAGGGCCACGAATTTCAGCCGAATTGGGGCAGAGGACACATGCAATATCCCAGACCTACCCAGGGCCACCTTGTGCAGCTGCATCGCGAACTATTTCCCTAAACTGGCACCTCGCCTTTCTGTGAACTGCAGCATTCTGGTTCAAGCAGAAGCGATCAGGCATAACATGACTCATAAAGCGCAGAGGCCACTGCCTGAAGGCTTCCGCCCCAGCCGGACTTGAAGGTTTACTTATGCACAG